TTGCTCCGTTAATGAAACTAAGCACAGGGCCGGATTTTGGGTACGCGGGAGTTAACTTATATATAGGTGTTTTATCTATTGTTGATATATGCTGTTCATAAAAATTGTTTATAGTTAATTTCTCTCCTTCTATTTGAAAAATGTTTTGGAAATCTTTGCAAATATTCAATATTGAATTTTTGGTTATGTTATCTAAACCATCAATTTTTAATTTCGATTTAATTTTTTCAAATGTATATGAATTTCGATTAGAATTATATGAAAGTATGTTATAATTATTTAAAGGTTTTATTTCTATTGTTGCATATTCTAATTCTATAGGTGTATCTCTAGTATTTAATAACCTAATATGTTGTATACCTTTGGCAGGTATTAATGAATTAGCTATGAATACTCCTTTCACTATTTCTTTTCCACAGACTAAACTGTCTTCTTTTGTATTTAGTTCAACTACTTGAATTACTTCTACCCTGGGCGGTATTTTGATATTTTTAATGGATTTTATTTTTATGTTCAAGGGTAAGACTATCCCATCTTCTGAGTTTGAGATCACTAATACGCATGTTTCATAATTTATTTTACAATTATGTTTTATCAAAAAATCTCTACCTAATATACCATCTGTAGGTAAATTTATATTATTTTTTATGACATTGAATTTGTGAGGTATTGTTTTACCATCAAAAAATAAATTTATATCTATTAAACCTTCTGTGGTTGTTTTTCCTGTTGTTATGCCATTTATTTGGCAGTTTTTTGTGTTATCAAAATTGCTCTTCCCTATTATACCTTTTTTTATTACTGATATCTCTGCCCCTGTGTCTACTAATAAAGTTATATACTTATTGCTAGAAGAAGTTTTAGCATTAATACTATTATCAATGTTTTCTATTGTCTTAAAATGTATTATTTGTTTTTGTTCTGGTTGTAATTGTTTCGATTGTTGTAACCATTGTTTTGGCTGTAACCTAGGTTGTGATTTGGATATTGCTTTAGGTTGTGCCCCGGGGTTCGTTAACCGGTGGTGTTCCAGTTTTTTTGATTATTGGAATTGTTGTATTGGTTTGATGCATTCCTGTTGAAATTTCCATTCGCATTTCTGTAATTATTCGAGAATCCGTTCCTTTGTTGAAAATTCCTGTTTGGTTGCTGTTGTATCATGCTTCTATTTTGTGTTTCTACACTTAGAGCAATTTGTACAGCTTCGTTTAGAGTAGTTGGCCTTGCTGCTGCTACTATATTCCTAAGTCTCTCGTTGAGTCCATTGGTGAATGCATTTAATCCTGTGAGATCTGTCATTTTCATTATTACTTGTTTATTTTGGTCACCCTGAGTAGCTATATATATTTGGTTTAAAATTGCTATTTGTTCCTCAATTTTAGAAACAAAATGTGCAACAGTTTGGGTACCTAGTCGCAAACGTGCTAAATTATTCTGGACTGTTAATGGATTTTGATTAGGTTTATAGATATTTTTCAGCTTTTGAATAAATTTTGGTATTGTGTCGTCTTCTTCTTCTAAAATGAGTTTGTTTTTAACTCTATCAGATAATTTAGTTGACTTAACAAACCGAAGTAAGATGGATCTCTCGATTTCATCTTTAAGTGAAAGATTTAAGGTAAAGGACGTAATTGCAATAGATGGTCAGTTAGATGATCTAGATTACTTATATTATGGCAGGATAGTCTATCTTTCAATATTGGATTAAGGAAATATTGGCATAGAGTGTGGAGTGGAGAGGTGTACCAATGGAGCGGACTACAAATCGGACGGATTGGGTTATCGTTTTTATGGGTTTTTATAGTCCCATAAAGATAAGGCATGGTAGGTGTCTCATTTAAGAGTTTTCTAAGAGACACATAAATAGGATTTGGGAATAAAGTCCTGTTACGTACGTATAGTGCACACAATGGACGAGCAACTCGGCGAAATAAACCCCGTATTTGGCGCCCAAGGATATCAGTGTTGCCTAGATATAATATACAAGATCCACTAGCGATATAGTTTGTTAGCCAATTATTGATCTTTTCCATGTACTCATCTTTATATATTAATATTGTTGATTTACATTTGTCAGATTGGACTAGTAATAAATTAGGATTTATATCTAAGAATTGTTTAGTTATCTGGAATAGATGAACCAACATCTTATGAAAAGGAGTTTGAGTACGATGGTTCTCCATTACCTGTAGGAACTTGTGATGTTCCTCTAGCTCGGATCGACAATACATACCTAAGTCGATATGGGATTCTAGGTAGGTATCGTGATACTGATTTAATGCCACAAAATAGTCGGTAATTGTAGGAGGTGCTACAGGGCAATAGTTAGGACCAAAACTTAGGAGAATTTGAGCCTCTAAAGGCACAGTTATGGTAGTTAGATTAGTGAAACCACAAGGGATTGCACGTGGATATAGATTTATAAGTTGGGACACATCAGGAAGCGTAGTAAATATTTTTGGAGTTAAGGAAATCAATGAGGAAGCCATAAAGGGTTGGATAGAGGGTCGAGGTGATAAAGCGGATAATGTTGATGGATGATAGTTTGGTATAGTTATACTATGAGGAGATATAGGATGCTTTGACAACCTTTTTGTTTTAGGATCTAATATTTTACTGGAAGATGTAACAATAATAGTAGATGTAGTGGTAGGCATATTTAGATTATTATTTAGACTTAGTGATTGAATATTGTGATGTGCAGGGGAGGAAGTAATGTTTTTAACAGCTTCTAGTGTGCGGGATGATGATTTAGGTAAGTTTGATGCAATGACATCTGTAGGTATAGTGGTAGCTGTCGTAACTAAAGAGATAGATATATTGGTGGTCAAAAAAAGATTTGTTATTAGTATATTTGAGAATTTAGTTTATAGAAGTGTGGTAATTAGGAGATACTGTAACAGTGTATATTATATATTTTTTATATATTTTTATATTTTTTGGCGTATTGAATTTTTGTTTTTAATTTTTCAAAAATTTACTAATGACTCAATGTTTAAATATAATAGGTGCAATGGTTTTAAATAATTTTTTAAATATTTCATTTCAAATTCAATTGAAATAATTTAATTAATTTTAATTTTAGTATTTTTAACAATTTGTTAATATTTATATAATGATTATGGATAGTATTTTTAATAATTTTAATTGTATATTTTATTATATGTATTTAATGAATTTAATTTTGAGAATTTAATAATTATGGAATTGAAAGGAAATATATGGTTTGAAGATAATAATGTGAGGGATTTATATAAGATTAATAATTAATTAAAATAAAATATAAAAAACTTTAGAGAGAGGTGTATATAAATACATTACCAATACGATGTTGTACGGATAGATGTGATTTTGATGATACAGATATAGTATTAGTTGAAGTGTAGTTGTAAGGTTTAGTGAATGAGGCAGATGTGGATATAATAGAAGTTGTTTGGGTGGTAATGGATGGTTGAGTGTTGATAAGTATTTGTAACTCTGGGTTAGTATCTATATATGGAGTTAGAGAATAATATGATAAATATATATATTTATAGAAGAATAAATATAGTAACAATGATGAATTAGTAATTATATAAAAGATATTAATTTGGAAGGGATATAATTTTAGGTGGTATATAAAATAAAATAATAATAATTACTTGATATACATATGTGTGATGATGTTGAAGGAGGATGAGTTGTATGTCCACGCAATTGTATGTGATCAGTGTTGGTTCTTGGTGTTATTAACGGAGCTATATGACACTGGTATGTAGTAGTTTGAGTTGAAGTATGAATTGGTTGATGAGTAGGCTCATCAAATAAATTATCATCTAAAGCTGTTTGATAAGCACTCTGCAACTCTTCGTCGGTATAGTTAGTATCCATTTTGTTGGGCTAATTAGTTATGTTTTAATAGAGGATTTAAAATTAAATTAAATAGGAATAAATAATAAAAAGAAGTAATAATTATGTTTCTGGGTATATTTTACATTTTTTAGAATCATCAATATTATAGGTTATAGTGTAATTTAAATAGATAAAGTTTTTAAAATATTTTTAATATATAGATATTACTTAGAAATAATATGATATCTTTTAAGGTACAATGATAGTTTTTGATTATTATATTTATATGATATGTAGATTACACTAATGCATTTTGAATGAGTTAGATACAGTTGATAAAGGTATATATAAAGTTGGTAAATAAGGTATACATGTAGTGATTATATGAATGAAAATATATAAGTTTAGATTTTCAATGGAATAGAGTATAATGAAGTTTGATAAACTTTTAGCATTACCATTGAATTCTGGTATTACTTTTGAAGCTGCAATTGAATCAAAATTAGCCATTTTTGCTTTAATGTTGTCTATGGGTCTATTTAATTGTTCTGTAATTGACTTAGGTTGCAAATATTTTTCTATCTGCTCTACTAAACTATCAAATTCCAACCTTAAATTCTTGATATCTTTGATATCTGTATTTTCTTCTATATCTAACCAGATTTGATGTATTATTAGTTTTGTCTTTACTATGTACTGTTTCGTGTAAACTCTATTTGGAGTTTTCTTTAAATTTTTTAATATTTTTCTTAAGTCAATTAAATCCATATGACATTGAATTTATTGCTATGCAAAGTATTTGCTAATAATATAATGAAGCAAAAATATTATAATAATTATTATTGAAATTACAAATGAAATTATCAGTATCATATAAATGTGTTAATTAATTTTATCATGATCTGATCTGGAGTACATTATTGGAAAAGTTTTATATTATTTAACAAAGTTTGAAAAAAAAATATTTTTTTTTTTTATATATGATTTTTATTTAATTTTTATACCTTAACATTAGCATTTCTAACTGCTTGTTTTTTAATATACTTTTTAAAATGTGAATTAATTTTTATTATTATTAATATAAATAGAAATATAAAGTTTAAATATGATATATAATTATTAGTATTAAAATTATTTGTTGATGCTGTTGCTGCTGATGCTGCTGTTGCTGCTACATTGTTGTTTACAATTTCTTCTGTTGATTGGGTTCCACTCATTTTTTTTTTAACTCCTTAAGCTGTTGCCGTAAAATATTTTTATTTTCTCCTTGAGATATCTTCAAGAGACACTTGAGATTGCCAATTTCTTTGGATACCTTTCGTTTTTTGCCACCACGCACCTTCTTTTTTGTTTGTTCGATTGTTATTGGCTGCTGTCTTCCACCTGGATGACGTTGCTTATATTGCTCAATTGATATAGGTCTTGGGCCTGCCTTTGGATTTTTCAACGCTTCTTCTAAAGTTTTCACCGCTGCCGCAAAATGTCTGTCAAAATCTTCTTGCGACATATTGTTTAATAATTTCTGAAGATTGCTTCTATCGCATAATCTATCAGATAAATATGTTTGTTTAAATGTTTGTTCAGAATATTTTTATTTTTGTAGCTTTTCCCACAGATAAAACAATTATATCTCTTCATTATTTCAAAGGTTCGTCAATTGCATATTATTTAATAATTTCTGATTTAATAATTTCGGTATTCCAATGGTCCATCAATTGCAGGTTATTTAATAGTTTCTGATTTAATAATTTCGAGATTCCAATGGTTAAACGCTTTTATTTTTGCTGCAATTTTGCATACAAATGGGAATTGTGCTCTTGACTAATTTCAACAACTTTGGAAACTTCTGATTTCATAATTCCAATAAGAAATTATCCTTTTTGGTGATCGCCTTCTCGGCACTTCTTTCATTTCGAATTTCTGATAATAAAATATGTAATACAACAGAAATATCTAACAAAATATTTATATAACTTACTCTGTCATTGTTTGTAGCTCTGCTTATTTTGAGTGTTTGAAAGTAAAGTACATTAATTAAATTAATCAATTTGTTAAGATTATTTGTTATTCACAAATAATTTAATTGGAAATTGTTGAACAATTCCATTTCATTTCAAATTCTAAGTATGTCGTTTATATTACATTTAAAATTTTCATTAATATAATTTTTTTTAATATAAATTATTATTAATAATATTAATTATTTAATAATATTTAATAAAATAAAATAAAATAAAACAAACAATTCAAACAACACACATATAATTTTCTGATGTAAAGATGTTAATAATATAACTGGCAGGAACGCCATGTAAAGATCTCTGTAAAGATGTCTTGCTTTGAATATGCCATGTAAAGATGTGTAGCTTCAGGATTGCCATGCAAGGTTTTTCATCCAATACATTAATATGTATTCACTTGACAGGATTGCTAAGGGATTGTAATTAAGAGCCCCAGAAGAAAGGTTTCGACCTAGCAAGGATCAGTATTAATATGAGCTCTTCAGCCGCCTTTAAGTACTTTCTAAGCTCTTCAGCCGCCTTAATGGTATTACCAGCAGATATGCCGCATATAACCAGAGATTCAAATAAAATAATTTATTCTTGTTGCCTTTGCAAAAGAATCTAAAAGAATTTGATTTATTTGTAAAATCTTACTCTATTTATACAAAATATTCTTATGTACTAAACTTATTATTTAATTCTAATATATTCTTGAGTAACCAATCAATACATTGGTTACTCCCAATTTTTGATAAAGTATATGATTTTTACATGTAAGATATTCATAGTATTTATTATACTATTCTAACATATGTTATCTATTTCTTATGCATTTTTACTTGTAAATATTATTATAAGTGTTATTCATAAGGTTTAACATTTCTCTAAAGGAATTTCTGTTACTACCGTACAATGACCACATATGATAAAACGTTTGGCTCAAGCATCATGTTACGAGTGCACAATCATAACGGCGTGAGTCAAACAAAATTTAAAAGTGTAATATGATCAAAGTCAAAACGACAAAGCGACAAATGTGCATTCAATAAATTATGTCACAATTGTTTTGTTACTTTATGTAATGACTTGTCATATTAAACAATGATATAGGTCATGGGCACCACAATATCTATAAGACCTTGAATATAAAGGTCCTCATGTTTTGTTTTTATTTTATGTTTAATTTTATTTGTAAAAGAGAGGTCGTCAACTTCTTTATATAATATATGTTTAAATTTATTTAAAAGGGTATTTATATATTTTTGTTCCTCAACATTCAAATGATCTAATGTAAGTACACTATCTTCTACTGGAATTATTTTATTAACTATTAATATTTCATTATATTTGTTTTCTTCTACTTCTGCATATTCGTTTGGATAAATTATTTTATAATTTTTATTATTTAATTTTATTATTTTATTATCATAATCAATTATGGCTTTTACTTGTTTCAAAATATCAGAACCTAAAAGTCCATCACAATTTTTTGAAAAAGGAGTTGTAAAGAAACGTAATTTACAGCCTAACTCGAATATTTCGTTTGTCGTTGTAATTTTATTTAACTCAAATGTGTTACTAATTGTTTTAATTAATCTAGGCTTTACATTTTCTGGTTTCGTTTTTAAAGTATTTGGATTTATTAGGCTAATAGATGAGCCTGTGTCAATTAAAAATTTTAAATT